CAGACTGCGACTCCCATCGTCCGACAACTTCCCTGCTTTCTGTGAAACACAAAATTGATTTCAAGGGTTTTGTAACTTTCTAGTCTCTCTCCTAATCTTCTGTATATCGCTACCGTTCCACCTGTCGAGTGGCGCCTTGTCTTTGGGAATCTCTGAAATAATGTAATATACTTTAATGTCCATAAAATGGAGCATTTCCTACAGCATCTAGCAGGAAAAGATCATATAAATATAGATTCCAAGAGCAGAAAAAGAAAAAATTAATCTTTGTGAATGCATCAAATTTACAACCCTGTCCATTTTTGCTGTCTTCCAATCAAACATTTGTAGTATTGCTTATATTTCATTTCATACCAGCAATATCTTGTATTTATTTACATTTTCACGTTGTGTTGACTATGCTCAATTTGTCCTTAATTGATGTGTTTGGATGTCTATAAATGATGACTACAAATAACATTTATTATCATTCTTATGCTTATTCGTATTCGTGTTATTATCATCATCAAAATGACCTCTGACAGTGATTGTGAACTCTGTCTCCAGCTTGTAAAGATTAAAGATCCAGTCGGGTTTAGAGGTTTGTGAAAGCCTCCAGGCTGTGCTTGGAGGCAGAGCTGTGATGAAGCTGCATCGCCTTCAAAAAAAAATAAAGGAAAAGGGGAACTGGAGGACATGTTTGAGCAGCTGCAACCACTGATGCAACAATCACATGAATAAATCAGGAGGGTAACTATTTCTACATGTTTTTATATTGGTAGTTGCTTAAAATGCATACAAGTGTTTATAAGATCATAGACTTGCAGAGTGTTATTAGATGATAGAGGGAGAAGCACAAAGCGGATAAAATGACAAAGGTATGTTTTTATTATCTTATTCAACACTATGACAGGAACAACCCTGAATATCTAGGTAAAATATTCAAATTCAAATATAAAACTCAAATCTTCTGTATTTGAAAAGGTGATGCTATTCAGATAGAAGCATTTAAAAATATTTTATAACTTGTTTTTGGACTAGTTTGTGCAAACTTTGGACTCCAAATAGTTTAATTACTTTGTAAAAGTACTAAAGGGTAAAGGAGGAAGGTCTGGTGATTTTTGGACGAAGATCAAGGCGGATTTTCAAGTAAGTAGGACAAGCCTGACCCCCATTGGGAAGAGTGGAAACAAGGGTATTTGGAGGTGAAAGTGGAGGAAGAGTTGAGCAGAAATCTGTGGAATGAGAAACTTTTATACTGAAGGGCAAAGTTGGAGAGGGCAAGGTTTGGCTGTGGTTTCCACTTAATTATTCCCTCTCAACTGAACGCAATAGAAATAGAAAATAGAAAATCTACAGTGAGTCTAAATCTCTAAATTAATTAACCTTACAGACAAAGTGAGTGCATTAAGTTTAAAACTGATACTTGATGGCCAAGACTATTGAACACAACTTGGTTAGATTTCTCTAAACACTAAATAGTCACTATTTATTGATACAGGTGTGAGTTTTCTCACACCTGTATCAATAGTTCCTGCCTTGCCTTTCCAAATCAGCATGTCGGATTGCTGAGGCAAGAACGGCAAACAGCAGAGTGGACATTGACATGCATGAGTTGGCGCAGACACACGTGCTCAAAGAAAACCAGCGTTCGACACACACAAAGCGCACATTTCCAACCCCTCGCACTGACTCGTCTGTCTCTGTCGAAGGAAAATGGAATCCATCACATACAGGATGCATGGGGGCGAAAGATCACTCACATTTCTCCCAATCAGAGCCAAATTGCTCTGGATGGCTCTCGTATTTGGAAGATAGAGCTCTGGCTCCGTCGTTGCATGCAAATAACAAAGTCGGCCTCTCAATTTTCTTTCTCTTGACTTAAAGAACGTGTTGAAGGACTGTCACTGAAAACGTTAGGAATCTGTAAGGGAAGCAATTCATGCTGCACAAGCAGATCATACTGCATACATTTGCTAATCAAAATAAGACGCAGCTGGAAGGTGGGACTCCTGTCTTGCAGCAAAAAGGTTGTGAGTTCGAATCTCTGCATGAAGTCGGAATGTTCTCAGAAAGGCACATAGAGGAACTGGATGTTGTTTTCAGACTTTCACCATCAAACATTCAGATTTCTCTTTTTTTTAGGCTTACTGCAAACATCAAACCTCATAAAGAGAAACTCTAAAATCTGCATGACTGAGTTCTGTGGAGGAAATCTGTCTTATCAACACATTTAGTGACAATTAGCGTCAGCCGCAAATGGATTAAAGCATCGACAGAACCCTGAAACGAATGATGCAGTCTTCTGGCTCCATGCAACAATATTTCATTCTTGTGGTGTGGGAAGTAATTTCAAAGGAACAGAAGGCATTAAAGGCATGTTGGAAGTGAGGTCTTCAAAAAGACAGCAGTCTCTTATTGAAACCACTGAACATTTTGATGTAGTAACAACCCAGGTCTCCTTCTGCTCAGGAAGTTTCTCTATGTTGAGCAGGTCAACCAACAACTGTTCCAAAATTCAATATATTACTATTACAACTTTACCAGTTTGGTTTGCAGACCGTAATTTCAGCAACCTTTTGTTTAAAATCCTGTAAACATTAAGACAAGTACAAATGATCTAGAATATGTGATTGATAGGAGCAAAGCAGGAGCATTTATCACGCGCTGCGCTTGTTACACTCTAATAAACATCAGCGTCTTCCTTTCTTTCTTTCTTTTTTGAACAGGACATTAAAATAAACATTTGGTTTAATAAAACACAAGAATGAGATCAATGTAACACACTTCCATCTCAGGATGCAAAAACGTGCCACTTTTTCAAAGTGCTAACCTGAAAACTTCAGTTCATTCAACTGTTGGAGTTTTGACAGAAAATTAATAAAAAGTTAACACAACTTGCTACTTTGAGTTTGTCTTTTGCAAACTCACACATTTAGGTTCAAAATCTCTCGCTACATTTTCATCACTTGAAGAGTAGAATTTAGTGGACACAAATAATGTTTTAGGACTGAGAAACGCGTCGATTCTCTGACGTTGTCACCGTCTCAACATCTGCACTCCTGTTCTGGATCCCAGCTGATAATCACATTACACACGTGGCATTTTCCTTAAAAAAAAGCTTTGAATTTAATATTGAAGGACTGCAAACCAAACACTTTGAATAATTACATGCAAATGAAAATGTGCCACCGCTATAAAAGCAGGTAAGTCCTGCAAAACAATGTAATGTTCTTTAAGAGCAGCACCAACACATCAGAGACTGGCAGCTTCTTTCTTCTCCCCTCCGTGTTTTTTCTGGAAACAGCTTGCAGGAGCCCACTCTCTTTACAGTTAATGAAATATCTAATGCACTTTGTTTCTTTTGCTCCGCACCTGCCTCCTCAGAGGCTTGTTTCCTCCTCTCACAGCTAAATTACTTGATCTCAATGGAGCGAGACAGACTGCGGTGAGCAACAAATGGGCGGGGAAGGCGAGTACTTCCAGCGAAAAGACGACGAGCTCCTGGAACAAATCTCCTCGCCTTTTTTCTGCTTTGAATACGGCCGATTGGCTGGTTGTTGTTTGCAGCGTTTGGCCCGTAAAGCCTCCCTCAACACACGTCCCCAATCCATCAGTTTTCCTCTCTCTACGTCGAGAACAACAAAACCGAGTCCTAAACGACTCTCAGAGGGTATTCCCTGCTTTCTTTTTAACATCCCTGCTCTTTTCAGAGAGATATTTACAGCTATTTAGGGACTGGTGATGTTCAAATTATTTATAAGATGTATTTCTGTGTCTGACTCACATCCAGTTGACCCGCTTTACATTCCAGCTCATGAAGCAATTTCTGTGACCAGTACCATGAAGCAGATAATGCAGCTGCTTCATAGTTATCAAAATTTAAGCCACTTCATAGAAGATAGCAGCCGAGGCCAGAGAGTATTTAAGGTGAGGAATATTTGCCCTGAGAGCGCATGGTCGCATTAAACAAATGTCAGCTAGTGAACCTCATCGAATTAAAGCTGAAAGGTGATAACATGAGACTACCACTAAAGGTTAAATATTTAGTGAGTTAGAAATGTAGCAGCAGCAACATCATCACCGACAGAAGCAAACGCTTGCATTAAGAGTGACTGAGTTTTGATTTGTGTGTCTGAAATTCAAACCCAAGCAACATTTTTGCCCTTCCTTATTCCCAGACTAATTATATTATGGTATATTATTATCATAATTAGAATTATGTTTTTTTAGTAAGTAAAACTGAGGTTTTACTTACTAATTTAACGCCTTCAAATGGGTCTCTGTCTCTTTAAAAAACTTCTGCTCTCTCCGAAACTCTGCCTTCACAACATGGCTCCTCCATTAACACTATAACAATGTTTTTTTTTACCAGCATTTCACTTTGAAGTGGTTCCTATGATGAGTTCAGTAGATGCTCAGTTTCACCAGGTGTTTGCTAATTGCTGCTGGCTAGTCTGAAGGAGCCGAGTGGGGAGTCACTGGAGGAGTGCTGCTTTTTGCACAGCTGTCATAGAGATTAAATGATTAATACAATATAGGTTTTTTTTGATAGAACATTAAACATGTCAATTTTACATAACACTGCCTCTTTAAAAGGTCCTAATCAAAGGTTCTGAAAGACTTTTGGAAGTATGTTAAAAGCTAATTAAAAATGTGGGAGGAATCCCACGCCTTCGAAAAGAAAAAGTGTCCAGAACTAGGAGATTGTTGAAGTAAATCTTTGACAAACTTCGTTAATTACACAATCAGAGCCTTTAGAAAGAAATATTCAGCTGCTGATAGAATGAGCAGTTATGATCAATGTCTGCACTGGCTGTCATTAAACTGATGCATTTTTATTAAAGTCATCCATCATCAGCGTAATCAATGCAGATGAAAGATGTTTGGTCTGCTGTGAGAAACCGTCTGCTGTGTTCTCATACATAAATGATGAGCAAACAGGGAGCAAACGAGCGTGTTGATGCGTGTGGGTCGTTCTGAGCGGGAACGTCCGGAGGGGGTTTTGACGGATCGCTCACCGAGCACGCCCAGTCGGTAGTTCATGGTCACCACGATCACGTTGCCGTAGGCGGCGAGGACGCTGGCGTCAAACATGTTCCCGGTGCCCTCCATGTACGAGCCGCCGTGGATGAACAGCATGACGGGCTTCTTCCTGCGATCGCGGATATCTGCACACACAAAACACACCGACGGTAAGGATTGGAGCGCCTGAAGAAGTCAATAAAAATGGTTATACTTCCTGTTTGATCAAACATGTTGGGCTGTAATAAATTAACAGCAAATGAATCTTTCCTCCTACTGGATGTCAGTGCTAGAAAATGGATCTTTAACGTACTTGGAGTACCTTTTAATGTCACAACGCCTGCAGAAAAACATTTGCTAAAAATTCTTGACTGACAGTAATGAAAGAGAAATGTTGTCAACAAACCCACGGGGAGAACTAAGTACACCCTAAAGATGGGAAAGAATTTAAAATGAAAAGAAGCAACCAGCTGTTGCTAATGAAAATCATCAGCAGGTAAGAAAAGCTCTAGAAAAACAAAAGGTTTAGGACTTTTTCATATCTGAATAAAAATAACATTGCATATTAATATTATTTTGTGTCTACTGTATTAAATCCTGCAGAAAAAAAACTGTGGTTCTTTTACATCTTTAAACTTAGATATATTTATAAATGTAACAAAAGACTCCATCAATCTGAGAAGGACAGAGAATCCAACATTTCACTAAATTACGATTACCACTAAATAAACAGATTTCGATTCAAGCAAAAGTGGAAGGTAGTCATCCAAGAAATTGTGCAAGAGTAAAAAAGAATTTGGTGGAAAGTCAACTCAAAGACTATTGATCAAAATTACCAATCATTTAATATTTAAAAATCACAAAACCAGACAAACCAAAATATAACGTTAAGGGAAGATTTTGGTATTTTAAAGACAAAATTGACGATAATTCAAATAAGTAACAAAATCAATAAAACTTTCAATAAAAAACTTATGAAACTGTAACAAAAACTGCAGCTGTGTTTCTGTTTCTGGTGAATTTTGGTTAAAACATGTCATTCAGTGGGCAGAAAATCCACAAATTTTACTCAAGTGAGAGTAGAAGTACTTCAGAATAAAATTACCCAAGTAAAAGTAAACGGTACAGCATAGTAAAAATACTCCTAAAAGGTTTTTTTTTATCATTTATTTTTTCAAAAAAGTTGCTCAAGTAAAGTTATTCCCCATCTCTGGGTGTCAGACCGTGCTCACGGCTGCTTCTCAGACGCCACAGGATTCAGTGTTAAAGATAGTGAAAACACAGATAAAAAAAACTAAACAACTATGGCCTTTTGTCAGGGTTTCCGGAAGAAGTGTATAGTGTCTGAAAGCACATTAAATCTTAAGGCCTCGGGTGCAAATATATCTAAGACAGAGCCTAAAGCTAAGAGTGACCAAGATGGCTGTCTAATAGTGTTTAAATCTGTCAAAGCTACAGACTAAAGTCTGCAGAGAAAACCTTCTGATTCATAACCGGAGCTGTATGTTTAAAGGTAATGACACTGAAGATGGGAGAAATGTGTTCATGTGTTTCTTCAAAGATGCGCTCTACAGTTCGACTCTTGGTTGAACTGAAACAGATTCTAGCATCAGCTTGTTTGAAATAAATCATCCTTCATTCAAATAACTCAGTTTTTGTTGGAATATTCTCACATAGGCTTATTTAGAGACGAGTAAGACCTCTTCAGTGCACATCAAAAGTCTCTTCTTTTGTTTAAAAAAACAAGGCAGCATGACAAAGATCCACAAAGTTGCTTCTTAATAAACACTCCGGAAAGGTGACGATTTGGGCTTGTTCTGCAGTGAAGTCTTCTGGACAAAGATCCCAAACATAGAGCAGAATTACTGAAAAAGATCAGTGTTTTGTAATGGACCAGTCAAAGTCCAGACCTCAACCTGATTGAGAAGCAACACAGATAAATGGACTAATGAAGGCCATTTCTGATAAAAACCTGCTATTACTTTTGTATTATATGCAGCAATGCAAGCATCTGGTGACACATTCTGCCACTAGGATTTTATTGAAAAACAGAAATTTAAAGAAATAAACTTCCAGATAAGATTACAAAAAAATTGTCTTTTCATTTCTCCATGCCATAAAATCCAAAACCAAACAGGATACAAAACAAAGAAAAAACATTTAGAATCTTCCATAAAAATTCAACATTATTACTACATTTTTGTAAGAACTCAAGAGAGAAGTTGACACATCCACTGTCAAATAAATGCTGCTTATTTCTCACCTAAGAGCTTGAAACTCACATGAATGCAAAGTGCAACTCGCCCTCGGCTGCAGAAACAGACGTGTCAAACTTGCTCTGTTTCCCTGTAGGGAAACTTCAGAGGACATCTTTCTCTTTTTCTTTTTTTTTTTGACACTATCAGTTTTAAACCAGCACTGCTCGTTAGTGGTTCTAGCTTTGGGGTAAAACATGAAGAGATATCATAAATGTCTCACATATAAATGTCAGGTCAAATCCTGGAAGACCAGAATTAAGAGGAATGATTGATTATCTTCATTTAAAGTAAAGCATGTCACTTCGTTAAGAGTTCCCATGATAGAAATGTCATTAATCGATCTTTCCTCATACATTAATTAATCTTTTTGCATAAATCTTCACATCTAAATCCAGACAACTACCTTGGACAAATGGAAATGAGATCAAACTTTTCTGATGATGATACATGTACTGAGTGTGAACAAACCCCATCTGGACATCTTGTTCCTCACCAACGGCTTCCTGAGTCTTCAATACATGAATGTTTATAAACCAGAGCGATTTATTAAGATTTTACCAATTTGTTTAATCAATACATTCTGCCAACGCCGGCCCTTCAGGATCTTCACATGGCCCAAAATAAAAACGAGTTTGATCTAAATTTAACGCAGTTAAAAAAAAAGTCCCTTTTCTCTAACTCATTGTAGACATTGATCTAATCAATACTAATGTATATCCCTTGATTACATTTATTATTATCTGGATTTTCCCTGATTGAAGAGCAATCATTTTATCGAAGCTGCATACATCTGAAAATTTGAGAGAAAGATTCTTCAAAGTGAAGAAAAACAAGGCAGCATGACAAAGATCCTGCCTTGTTAAGGCAAGAATCTTTTCTTGCCTTAATTTGACCTGAATCTGATCTTTTATGACAAAGCCATCCAGGCCACTTGGATATGCGATTCGTATTCAATCTTTTCAAATGTGAGCGGCGAGGTCACATTTATCCACCTGACCGTCATTGTTACCCGATAAACGTCGATATTCTGCGTCCTGATACGCACAAGCGGTTAGAAAAACAACAATAAAGAGGAATAAGTTGTTGATCTGCTGCTGCAGTTGGACAACAACTCTAAAATCATAAGATATGCAACACCATTAGCTACAACTACTACTACTACTACTACTAGTACTACTACTACTACTAGTACTGGCTGACAAACACTGAGCCTGCTCTCTCTCTGTGTGACGTTATTGCGCCCTCTACTTTGCATGTGGGAAACTTTCAGGTTGTTTACAGTTCACACGGTTGCAGAAACAAATCCGATTTCACAAAACAATCATATTTGGGTCACTTCTGGCTGCAGTGTGAACGTATAATTTGTTTATGCTGGTAAAGTTTAATATTTTCTCAACTGCTACAATGATTTTTGGCTTCTGTCATTAAAACTATGTGCAGGTAGCTTCAGACAGAACCCAGTTAGCGGTGTTTTCAGCCGGAGCCAACTCCTGCGGCTCTGTGTGTTTTTGTGCAGGACTGTCCCCGATGGGCCCTCGTTGGCCTTTGAACCGTTTCTCCCAGCTGACCACGGGACGCTCCTTCCTGCCAGGAGCCGACGGAAGCATATGGCACACGAGACTCCGAACTGTGGCACGGTGACAACCCTGGATGGCTTTGGTTTGAGCATGTGCTAAGAGTGTGTGTGTTTGTCTGCAGGCCTGGGGGTTATGGGGGAGCAGTGGAGCAGATCAACCACATAAATAACCATTACTGCATCTGTTACCGAACGGAAGAGAGATAGAGACGCTCTGAATCCCTTTGAAACCCTCCTGTATGTGCAGAGTAGCTGCTGAAATATGGATTAAATGCTTCAAAGTAATGATAAGCTCGGGTGTTAAAGATCCAAAACTCTTAAATCGCTCCTAAATCTGTAATATTTAACCTCAAATGAGACCAAACTTCTAATCTCTTAAGATTTTTAATTTTTTAAATAAAATCTCACTTCATCCTTAAATATTGAAACATTTAAACCAAAAAACTATTTCAAAGTCAGAAATAATTTATCTCTATGTACATTGTGCTGGATGATATGGCTGAAAAACGTATCATGATGAAAATGTGTCAAATCGATCCATGTTGATAATTATTGATTAGTTATTTTGTTTTGAATATCTGGTGATGTGGCATTTCCTGTTTTAACCACAGCTTCCACTCCACACCGTTTCTGTTTATTTTTAAGCAAAACCTTGAACTGCTGCTGCGCCAGTTACTTAACAAGTTGTTGATGGGTAACCAAACAGCGCGTTCATAAATTCCACCAACTTTGCTTGGAAAAAAGTCTGCTAAAGAAACAGTTGGGACTGAGCAGGAGGTTCACCTTCCAGCAGGATAATAACCTTGAACATAGAGCGATAGAAAGGTTTGGATTATCTCATTAAAGTAACATTAGTTCACATCAGTCTTAGGTATAAATGTATTGTAAACTTTATCTCTAATATTTATATTTGTATTATTAATATTTAACACCTTAGATGGAGTAGCTTGTCAGTGAATAAGCGATTTCCCTTTGGGGATCAATGAAGTATAAACTATCCTGTTCTAAAGCATTGTCACAAGTTACAATGGTCTAGTTAAAGTTCAGACCTAAATCCAATTGAAGATCTGTTGTAAGACTTTGAAACTGATGTTCAAAGCTGAATCAAATTGGCTGGACCTTCAGATAAATTTAGTACTTAAAGATGCAGAATGTAAGTTCATAAAATTTATGTTTGTTAAAACTAGCAATATGCTGTGACATGGAAGCTAACGCCAAGGCTAGTTAGCATGGCCACTGGTGAAAGTGGATAAGCAGTTTTTCTGCAACAGTAAGTTGTTTCTTCATCTATTAGCACATTCAGCAGCA